ATTTTGCTGTAAAGTTCTGGCTTGCTCTGAAGATTTTGCATTGATTCCTTTTCATTTGATAGGAAAGTTAAGCTTTTCATTTTTTTTTTGGACTGCAGATTTCCGGAGAAAGTTTAAATTAGTTTCCAAACAGAGAGGCTGTGCTCTACAGATGCTAAGTCACGAGATCTAATATAGTACTCATAATGCATACACATGCTGAGCTACATTCCTGCTACTGGACGCTCAGTGCCCTCGAGAGAGAGAGGTGCCTTGATAACGGTGAAGGCTCTTGATCCAAGTTAACCTATCCTTACCCCTCCTATATTAGTATAATATATACTGCTACACGGACAGTGTGACTTTGTAAATGGTCCAAGTCGGACCGAAACGTAGTTGTAAGTTCCTCTCTCCTATGTGCGAGTTATTTGTGTATTGTTCCAGTCACGGTATTGTGCCTTTTTCTTCTCTACTTAACGTAGTATGTTCCTATAACATCATTGTGCCCTCTAGAACACTGTAAAAACGTTTTAAGTTATATATCAAAAGCTTACATACAAACCTTACTAATTTCCTCCCCAGTTTTAGTATTTTTGAGCATCCACTTAACGTTTCCTTAGCTATATAAACTGTGTCAAGAAAAATCAAACAAATCAATATTACTACTGCAACCTGCATACTCCCCCACCCAAAAAAAAGATATATCCCAGAACAGAGAACCTTCACAGCACATATAACTGCGATAAAACACATCAATTACTGGGAACGCTTGTAGTTCCTAACCCTGTACTAGAATGCAGGAGGGAGACATAATTATATATACTTGGAAAATCCTAGAGGGATTAGTACCAAACTTGCACACGAAAATCACTCCCTATGAAAGCAAAAGACTCGACAGACGGTGCAACATCCCCCCAATTTAAAGCAGGGGTGTCACTAGCACTATAAGAGACAACACAATGAGTGTCAAGGGCCCAAGACTGTTCAACTGCCTCCCAGCATACATCAGGGGGATTACCAATAGACCCCTGGCTGTCTTCAAGCAGGCACTGGACAGGCACCTAAAGTCAGTACCTGATCAGTCGGGTTGTGGCTCGTACGTTGCATTACGTGCAGCCAGCAGTAACAGCCTGGTTGATCAGGCCCTGATCCAGCACGAGGTCTGGTCATGGACCGGGCCGCGGGGGTGTTCACCCCCGAAACCCTCTCCAGGTATACATTATAAAATTTTGCTCTTGATTATAAACAATATATTATCTATATTTTAATGCGTAATTTTTAGACAGGAGTTAAACTTCAGTGAAATATCTGGGAATAACCTTTGACCCAAGTATGTCAGGAGACTTGACAAGGAACAGTGTAGTAAAGAAAGCGAATGCCAGACTGAAGTTCCTCTAGAGACAAGCACAGTGTCTACATACTGAGGCTCGCAGGACCCTATGTCTAGCCCTTATACAATGTCATACAGATTACTCTTGTTCTTCATAGTACTTTCCCTTAAGAAAAAAAATCTGAACGACTAAAAATCACCCAGAACAAAATGGTGAGTTTCATCCTGGACCTGGGTCCAAGAAAATATGTAGGCCAGGATGAATTACAACAACTGAATATGTTGAATATTGAAGACAAGAGTAAAACAACTGAATTTCAATCACGTTTGTAAAATTGTTCACAAGCTGTGTCCGGAATATCTTACTGCCAAGTTTGTCAAGGTTGGGAACCAAAACAGTTATAGCGCTAGTGGAAGAGAACACAACTTTATAGTACTAACAGTAGGTGGTCAGGCTTCAAACACCTTTTATTGTACTGCAGTAAAGGAGTGGAACAGACTGTCACAGCATGAGCCAGTTCAGGAAGTGAGCCAGAAGGTATCTAATGAATGTAGCGACAGAAAGGGAGGAGAGGGAATTCTTGTATAGCCAACATGCATGTACCTATTACTGTGATCAGATCCTCTCTTTAATGTTAATAGAAATAACTCACTTTACCGCACTCCTAGTATATCTCCTTTTATTGTAACTACTTTTCACATAGTTGAGTTACTTAGGCGTTTTAATTTTTAAGGTTTAAATAAGGTATTACAAGGACCCAAATTCAATTCAAGTTTATTCTCTATAAGGGTTACAATGTGGGGTTTACAGGTTTTGGGTATTGTGTGGTTTACATGTTATAAAATACTAATTACAGAGGGGGCCACTAGGACATCTAGCCTGGCTAGGCATTTCAAGCAGACTTAGATTAATTCTTAAAATTAAATCCTTATAGATTATGGTATTAAGGCTAAGTGACTACATCATAATTTGTGAGTTTAGCAATGTGAATGCTTTTGTTTTGGCACAATACAAAGTGTCTATATTGGAGTATCATAGGCAAACTTATAACTAGTTAGGATTTATTATTTTAAGATTAAGATTAGTATTTCTGGGTTTATAGTCAGTGGGTGAGTGAGTAATTGTGAACCACCAGGTGGTTATCATGTAGTTAGTTGTCGAGGTGGATCAGGGAGATAAGATGTTTTCTAACTGTAGTTTTGAAAATGATGAATGTGTCTGCAGTTCTAGAGTTTTTAGGTAGGGTGTTCCAGATTTTAGGTCCTTTGAAATACATTGAATTTTTATAAAGGTTTAGTCGAACACGGGGAATGTCATAGAGATGTTTGTGTCTGGTGTTATGCCTGTGGATCCTGTCACAACTATCAAGAAAGCATTTTAGGTCAAGGTTAATATTGGAATTTAAGGTCCTGTAGATATAGATTGCACAGTAGTAAGTGTGGATGTTCTGAACAGGGAGTAAGTTTAGATCTATGAAGAGTGGGGGGTGTGTTGCCAGGGATGGGATTTAGTGATTATTCTTACTGCGGCTTTTTGTTGGGTTATTATTGGCTTTAGGTGTGTTGCTGCAGTTGAACCCCAAGCACAGATAGCATAGGTGAGGTATGGATATGTAAGTGAATGGTATAGTTTTGGATACTTTTTTTGTTATGTGTTGGATATGGAAATAAGTCACTGACTTTTTCTGGGTTATCCTAGGTAGTCTACACATGTACTGCTATGTATGATAATTAATGTAACTGTACTTATGTGTGCCTATACTTGAATAAACTTTCTAATACGAGACTTCTAAATATCTAACAACAATAATCAGAAGGAACGACATAGCTACAATTAAAGAACAAAAAGGCATAATACTGTGACTGAAACAATAAAAAAGAAACAAAACACATTGTATTTCCTTCACAAAATGTAGTTTACATGTGCACATAGGAAAGAAAACCTATGACGACGCTTCGGTCCGACTTAGAGCATTAACTAGTCACACACCGACACGTCTTCATAAATTTTGTTTCACCAGTGTGCGGGTCATTTGCGTATAGCTACAATTAAGATGATGTAACACGCCTTTTATTATTTGAAAACCTGACCCATTGATGTGAATCAGAGGTATAGATGCACGGGTGTCCTGCCAGGGAGGATCAAACTCCCTATAAGTCTGCTGGAAGACATGTGTGGCAGCCTGGGTGAGGGTGTTGGGGAGGCCACGTGACCCTCACTTGTCTCCCTCACACCGTCCACGTAGCACACTTCTTGTCACTACCAGCTGTCAAACCAAAATACTAGCAATGGGTGAGTTTTCTTTTCGCTTTCTAAGGGAGTAATGGTGGTTGTCCCGGGTGTCAGGGTGTGGAGACCGCCGAGGATGGGTGTTCGAGGGAAAGTGGGTGGTGATGTGAGGTTTATGTACAGCACAAGTTTAGGAAATATTGGCAGTGTTGGCTCTTAAATAGCGTGAGGGAGTTGAGAGCTTGTTAGGTGCTTACGTGGAGACCAGACCTAGTAGCTACTGCCTCTATTTCATCTTACTAAGATTAATGACAGTCTGTGAAAGTGTATGTGTGTGTCAGTAGTTTACATTCATGCACATCTCATTAGACTTGTTAGGATTAATTGGAAACAAAGCTGATGTACCACTGGTCTTTATGACCCATACGAGTTCAGCGCATGTTATGAATATAATAATAACCACCATTCATACACAAGACATCCGTTCAAGTGTTATCATTAACCATTGTAGCATTATTCAGTAAATGTAGAAAACACATACTGAGTGTCTGGTTCAGTCCCCTGCACGGGTGGAAACGTTGGGCATGTTACCTTACACCTGCTGTCCCTGTTCACCAAACAGTAAGTAGGTACCTAGGTATTAGTTGCCTGTTGTGGGTCACGTCCCAGGGGGTGGTAGTAGTATACCTGAGATATGGCTGGGCTTGATATGAGCTGGGCAGGATAAGATTTTGTTTGGGTTTTTAACCCCAGAGGGTTAGCCACTCAAGATAACCCAAGAAAGTTAGTGCATCACCAAGGGACTGTCTGTCTTATTTCTATTGGGGTCCTTAAGTCTTTTCCCCCCAGGATGTGACCCACACCAGTCGACTAACACCCAAGTAACCTACATGCTAGGTGAACGGGACAGCAGGTGTAAGGAAACATGTCCAATGTTTCCACCTTTGCTGGGGATCAAACCACGGACACACTGTGTGAAGCAAGAGTGTTGCTTACCAGGCCACGGGACTTAATCTGTAAAATTGATTTGTTAAAAAAAAAAAAAAAATCAAGCCCACAAAAGTGGAGACCCAACATTAAATAATTACAGATCAAATTTTAGCTAGCCTTTATTAGGTAAAAAAATTAGAAAAATGATACATAAACTAATGTATGTAATCATAATGTTTTTAACCCTTGCCAATTTAGTTTCAGGCCAGGAAAAAGTACAGATATTGCAACGATAAAAATGCTTGACTAAAAATATTAATTTCTAGAGAATAATGAATACCCAGTGGGCTGCTGTTTAAACTAGAACATCAGACTCACGAAATCGTAATGACACGATTGCAAACAAACCATACCCCGGCCGGGATTGAACCCGCGGTCAGAGAGTCTCAAAACTCGAGACTCTCTGACCGCGGGTTCAATCCCGGCCGGGGTATGGTTTTTTTTAGAACATCAGACTCGGAGGCCATGCTCTCGCATAGTCTTGCCTTAATGTCAGGGTCATTATCAAGTTTGTCTTAATCCCAACTTGTGCAGTATTATGTAAAATACAGCAATTAACAACATTTGTTACTTCTTATGCAAATTTTTAATTTGGGAAATATTACCAAAAAAATACATTTATTTTGGCATGAGCAGTATCTTGGTGATAATCACCAGTTATTGTCGTGCAGCGAGTCTGACCAATCACACCAACATAAACAAAGATGCATCAGATATAAACAAAGGTACACAGTTTTCCACTCTGCCACTGGTAGAATAAGATTGTTACATTAGATTACAGTGGACCCCCGGTTAACGATATTTTTTCACTCCAGAAGTATGTTCAGGTGCCAGTACTGACCGAATTTGTTCCCATAAGAAATATTGTGAAGTAGATTAGTCCATTTCAGACCCCCAAACATACACGTACAAACGCACTTACATAAATACACTTACATAATTGGTCACATTCGGAGGTAATCGTTATGCGGGGGTCCACTGTATTTTAGGTTGAGTTACTTAGCTTTGGGTACATTTCTTGCCATTTCCCTAAAATTAAACCGCATAATAGGTAAATTATGTGGACGTCTTAAGGAGTAAGTTATCAGTCAGTTCAAACCTAAACCTCAACTTGGTAATAACCAGTGAGAAACGCCAACATGAGACGAGTAATGACAGTACATGTACTTCATTAGCTTGACTCCGGGAAGCTGGGCTCGACTCGTTGTAAGCTGTCAGTGGCCCTTCTAACCTAATATGATTAACTCAGTCTGTCAACATGAGGGTGCCACAGGATGGTGTCCTAGGCCCCCTCTTTCTCATCCACATCAATGAACTACTTAATCCCTCCCAGGATCTTAAACTAATTATGTTTGCAGATGATACAAGTTTTGTCATCTTGAATCTAGATCTGGTCTTGATCTGGCTGTCTTCATCTGCTACAGACAAGCTCCTAAACATACTTTACCTTGATGACAACCAATAAACTCATTTAATATTGATAAGACCTGCTGTGTAGAGTGAGTTTGAGAAAATATCCCATTGAACATAAATGTGTATGATACTCATATTGCCAGTAATCATAATGGAAAAATTCTTAGGTACACACCTATCATATCCCATACATACCCAAGAAAATTTCCAAAACAGTAGGAAGTCTTTTAAAAGTACACTAATATATACTACACTAATCTCTGATCTACATTTAATTTATTATGATATACATCTACAGCAGCAAATCTAATACTGCTGCAAGAATAGTAAAAAAATACCTTGTTACTCTAATTCAATATGCCTTCCTGTCCAGCTGCCAACTTGTAATCAAATGCTACACTCATTATCTCTACTCTCTTATCACCTCTCCTTTATGCTGGTCTTGTGAGCAGTCTTATACTCAAACCATTGTCATAAAACTTTCTCAGACTAACCTTACTCCTGATTATATAACCCTTACTCAGTCAAACTATACTAAGTTATTTTAAAGCAATTCCCTAACTTTTAGAATGTGCATAAAATATCCATCCTGATGTCACACAAAGCCTAATTACAGTGGACCCTCGGTTAACGATATTAATCCATTCCAGAGAGCTTGTCCTTAACTGATTTTATCGTTATCTGAATTAATTTTCCCCATAAGAAATAATGGAAATCCAATTAATCTGTTCCAGACACCCAAAAGTATTAAAAAAAAAATAATTTTTTCACATGAAATATACATTTTCCTACACAGAAAACAATGAGACTCGCAGAATAAATGCATTAATAATTCATAAAATGACACCTTTATTGAAGACTTAGTGATGAGATGGGAGGAGGGGAGAGGATGGAAGTGTATTATTGTTTGGAAGGGGAATCCCTTTCCATAAGGACTTTAGGTAGCAAGTCCTTTACTGGGGTTACCTCCCTTCCTTGTTTTTTAATGCCACTAGGACCAGCTTGAGTCACTGGACCCCTGTCACACCAAAAATCTGTCTGGAGAACTCTGTTTCTGGTGTATCTTTAAGATTTCCCTAAAATGGGACACAGCATTGTTATTGTAAAAGTCACCAGCATGGCTTGCAACAGCTGTGTCAGGGTGATGTTCATTCATAAAGGCTTGCACCTTTGTCCACATTGTACAAATATCCTTAATCATTGAAGAAAGCAACTTCCTCCATCTTCTCCCTCCTCTGAAGCAATTTCCTCAGCTGTGGTCTGTTGCTGTTGCAGATGAAGCTCTTGCAGCTCATCAGTGGTTAGCTCTTCAGTGTCGTTCTCTGCCAACTCTTCCACATCCTTGCCACAAACCTCCAACCCCATGGACTTCCCCCAGTGACACAGTAGATTCCACAACTGGTATAGACTCCTCAGGGTTAGCCCCAAACCCTTCAAAATCCCTCTCTTGTACAAAGTGGCCACAATTCAGTGTCTGAGGTCACTTCAAAGCATTTTTGAAACACTGCTATGGTGTACAGTTTTTTTTTTTTTAAATTTAAAATGACTTGCTGGTCCATGGGCTGGAGGAGAGGAGTGGTGTTAGGGGGCAAAAATTTCACTTTGATGAAACTAAACCCCACAATTTGCTCTTGCAAGTTTGGAGGATGAGCAGGAGCATTGTCTAATACCAGGAGGCACTTGAGTTCCAATTTATTTTCCAGGTATTTTTTCACACTGGGGCCAAACGCTTGATAGAACCAATTGAGGAAAATGTCCCTAGTGACCCATGCCTTACTGTTTGCCCTCCACATCATGCACAAATTAGGCTTGACAACACTGGATTTACTTGAACACACTGGGAGTTTGAGTGATACACCAGGCTTCACTTTGCAATCCCCACTAGCATTACTACAAAACATGAGAATTAGCCTGTCTTTCATAGGCTTGTGTCCTGGGAGTGCCTTTTCCTCCTGAGTAATATAGGTCCTGTTTGGCATTTTCTTCCAAAACAGGCCTGTTTCGCCACAGTTGAACACGTGTTGGGGTTTTAATTTTTCAGCCTCTATGTACCCCTTAAAGTCTTGCACGTATTTTTCAGCCTCAATATGCCTTATCACACTGTGTATGCCACTACGATTCTTAAATCTCTCAAACCAGCCTTTGCTGGCCTTAAATTCATCAATATCAGCACTAGTTGGAGGCATTTTATTAATGAGATCTGCATGCAACTGCCTTGCCTTTTCACATGTAATTGACTGTGAAACACTATCTCCTGATAATTGTTTCTCATTGATCCACACCAACAACAGTCTCTCCACATCTTTGAGTACGTATTTGCGATCTCTGTTTTGTAAGCACATTTGCACCTTTCACAACAACAGTTTCCTCGATTGCCTTTTTGTTGGCCAAGATAGTAGCGATGGTTGACTGGGGTTTGTTGTACAACCTGGCCAGCTTGGAGGCACGCACTCCACTTTTGTACTTTGCGATTATCTCTTTCTTCAATTCAGTAGTATTTCACCTTTTTTCCACAGGGTTGGCGTTAGAAGCTTTCTTTGGGCCTGTGGTGGCTTATTTAGCAGTTACAAGCACTAAAAACAATGAAATAATAAGAAATGTATCGCACTGGCTTGTAAACAATGGCACACTGGCTGTACATGGAGTGGCAGGGCGGCCCAGGCGGCTCAGGCTGTTTTGGACACATTCTGGACGAATGCCCTTAACTGAGTTTTTTATCGTTAGCTGAACCAATATTTTGACGCAAAAAGTACCGGTATCCGATTTTATCACTATCCAATGGCATCGTTAACTGAGGGTCCACTGTACACATAATAGAACTATAATTAAGTAATTTTTAAAGTCTAGAATTAGTCTGATTGAAGTGCTTTGCCTAACAATAGGCTTTCCTTAGAGTTTTCAATACAGTATGTATAATGTTTTCTTAAAACTTCTAAACTACTTTCATAATATAAATTTCAAAATCATCCAATGTAATGTAATGTTTCCTAAGAAAGTAAGCATCTTTATTAAAAATCTATCATCACAACAATATTCTGTTAGAATGATCTCAGTCAAGTTCCAGAGAACATGCTTCCTTCTATTTAGAAGTTTAAATTTATTCAACATATAAAACATCTACACCTCTCTGTGTAAACTTCATATGCAGGACACTCAATATAAATATAAACCAAGTCCCAAGATTTGTTTCACAAAGAGTTGCAACAGAAGATGCACAAAACACGCATACTGTGTCCTTGATATCCCACGTATTTGACTTACCTGAGTAGAAACTCCCTGCAAATAAAAGGCCCAAAAATATGTAAAATTCTGTTTGTAAATTCTAAAAGTTTCCCTGCTGTTAACTGCTTCAAAAGTAGTTAGGAACACTTGAACATTATATAATTTTAAATCAAATTAAAATGTCAGGTATGTCTAATGCAACTTGCTTATCCAGACTCTTGTGCAATAATGAGGTCATTATATTTTTCATTTTCTTTGTAATTCATATTTCTTAATTTTGAGGGCAGTGTTGTAGCATATACTGTATCTAAATATTAATGCCCTCTCTAAGCCTTCTACCAACTTTGACCTATCATCTTTTATTTTCTGTTTTGAACCTGAACTCATTTGCATCACCTTTCTTTTACATACTTGTGTGAAATATGTTAAATATGACTGAAAATTTTTTTACTTGGGTATACATTTTTTCTCATAGGGGCTCTCCTCAGCTACTTTCGGGGCCTTATCGGCTCCCGAGAGATGCGTATATTGATTCTTGGATTGGACGGTGCAGGCAAAACAACAATCCTCTACCGACTACAAGTAGGGGAAGTTGTGACGACCATTCCCACCATAGGCTTCAATGTAGAACAAGTTACTTATAAAAATCTCCGGTTTCAAGTGTGGGACTTAGGAGGACAAACCAGTATCAGGTGAGAGCCTGTTTCATTGTTGATATTTTTTTGTATGCTTATCCAGTGTTTTGCAATTTTTTTTCTTTTTAATCACATTTGTTAAAGCTTCTTTCTTGGAAGTCTAGTAATTATAGTACAGTAACTACAGCACAGTGTTTCCTACAAAATTTCTTAGAGGGTCCTCTGAACCCAGAAACCATTAATATTGTATTGTAAAAATAAATTCTTTCCATGTAGTGGGACCTAGACTTAGGACCATCTGCAGTATGCTGACACTTATGAAATCGGCACTTTTTCACTAATTAATTTCTTGCAAACACTGATCTGCAAATATAAACAATGTAGACATTCAAATTTAATTTTTTTCCAGAAATTGTTCTTTAACCCTTTGACTGTCGAAGGGCCCAATCCTGAAGTTGCTCCTGGTGTCGCAAAATATTTGAAAAAAAAAAAAAATTATTTTTTCTTATGAAATGATAGAGAATCTTTTCCCGATTGTAAAGACACCAAAAAAACGAAATTTGATGGAAAACTGACGGAATTACGCTCTCGCGAAGTTAGCGACTTCGGCGATATTTAAAAATCGGCAATTTCGCCCACTTTGAGCCCTATTTTCGGCTAATTCCGTTATTCCAGTCAACCAAACTCATAACTATTTCTTCAGAACTCTATTTTTTCTATCGATTGAGTACAAGAAACTGCCCATTTACCGATTTCAACTACCCAATAACATGGTCAGAAATTTGCAATTTGGCCAATTTCACGAAAATTAAAAAATACGACAATTTCAAAATAAGGTCCAGAATGAACAATGCAGACATTCCTGGCTCTAAAATAAGATTTTCTTTGTTCATCAGTCGTGTCTCCAGGTCCCTGTGATATTACTCTTGCTTTTTATTTTGAAATTTTATTCAAACAAAAAATAGAAGATTTACTGTTATGCAGACTACTGCAATACTGTAATAATTGTAAAAATTACATCAACCCATTCATGACTGCGTATTAGAATGGCTATTTGGACATTTATTGGACAATGACATCATTTGTTTACTTTTGAACATCGGCAAAAATCAAACATTTCCTGTACTTTGTGCTCCATTTCCAGGTTCTTTTTATAGTAAAATTAATCAAAATCACCTCCATTTCTATAATATAGTTTCCATTCTATCAAATGAGACCATGAAAACGAGAATACAACCACAAATACTATACGAAAATAGACCACAAAGTCGGCATTTTAATTAAAAAAAACGGTCGGAGTTTTTTTTTTCTCATTATGCACTGCGTGCTCCAGGATTTTTTTTATGTGGTGCACACTGACCACACAGACCCATTCTCTCACATGTGGGCCTACTAGCTTTCTCCTGCCTGATTTGAAGCCGCTAGAATTTATGAGTATATATACGTCAAACACGGTACCTCACAAACGTATATATACGGCCGCGACAGTCAAAGGGTTAATATATTTTTCATTAAATTCATTCTTATAGTGTGTGTGTGTGTGTGTGTGTGTGTGTGTGTGTGTGTGTGTGTGTGTGTGTGTGTGTGTATGTGTGTGTGTATTCACGGAGGGCTCATCTTAAATAGATTGGTCAAGAACTGTAAATTTAATACAGTATATAATTAATTACCTTGCTGTGAGACATTTATGTTCCATGCATGATGAGGATTGATGCCCGTCTTCACCCTCTACTACTAGGCATGAAATTGTAAATCTTTGTGCATCACATGCCCTGGGATCTAATACCCTCACCATAACAGTGGAGAGTTATGAATTCCAATACTATCCAGGTATTAGGCATACCTGGAGTATACCTGGAGGGGGGTTTTGGGGGTCAACCCCCACCACAACCTGGTCCATGACCAGGCGTCATGTTGGATCAGGGCCTGATCAGCCAGGCTGTTGCTGCTGCCCTGTGACTGATTTTTGAGAATTTTCTGCCCTTCCAGCTTGGCCTAGGTCCAGGCTTTTCTGATTGCTTATTCAACCAGGCTCTTGCTGTAGTTGGCCCATTGGCTTTCATAAGCATCACAGCCTGGCTGACCTGGCACTTGACGAAGGTGGTGATTCAGTTTCATCTTGAATACTTCTACTCTTGCTGTGGTAGTATCTGCTGATAGCAGGTTAAAGTCTTGAGCTAGATTGTACTGCAAGTAGTAACAGTCACAAATAACACTCACCAAGGAAAGAAGTTACTCGTAAATAACTTACAGTATGTTATTTATGTCTTCATCAAATCCTACAACTCTTGACTTAAGTGACATCAACAATGCAGCTTTTTTTTTAATTACCATTTGTAATTGGCAGTGTTGTTGGGTTTTAACCCTTTCACTGTCGAGAGCCCTGATCACAAACTTGCTCTGTGTCGAAAAAATAAAAAAAAATTTACAAATTTTTTCTTACCAAAATCTTAAGAATATTTTTCTAGTGTTTTAAAAGAAAAAAAAATTGCGATCAGTACTTGCTGAGATATAGAGGCATGAAGATGACAGAAAGTGAACTGCTTACAGCAGCATCGACGACTGCCACTCACTCAGTAATATTATTTTTACTTTTCTTTTCTTTTTTTCTTTTCTAATATTTTATTTTTTCAAGTAACTTTTGTAGCCTGTGAGACCAATATAATTCATAATGTATATACAGTGGTAACCCGAGTTTCAT